CGAGCTCCCGGAGCTCCTGCAGCCGCCGCCAAGGGCACTCGTACAGGAAGCGCATCGCAACATCAAATGTGGCTCCTGCACAGGGACCAAGAGGCCCAGGTCAACCCCGAAACGTCCTGGGGGCCCCACCAGGCCCTGCAGCTCTGCAGCCTGAGCCTCTGGCCCTACCACCAGGCCCTGCTCATCTTCAGCATCCCTCGCATCCCAGCCACAATTCCTGCAGACTTTTTCCTTTGCTGATCTCTTGGGACAGCTTAGGTTTACTGTGTCCTCTCTGCATCCGCTTTCACAGCCCTCACCCCATACTCTCTGTGCTATAATTAACAGGCAGGCATCTCCTCCCTGACCCTGAGCTGCCTGGGTCTCAGCTCTGCGATCTCATGCCCAGCACCAGGATTGGCTAGAACGGGCACCAGTCACTATTTGCTAAACACATGAATGTCGTGCCTTGTTCCGTTCTCACTCGTTCCCTCAGTGTTAACATCTCTAGCTATTCCTGGAGAGCCCGAGTGGCCTGCCTGTACTGTGGATACCACATTCCTGCCATGCACTGTCCCACATCCCATCCCATCCCTCCTCCAGCCTACCTCCCCAGTTCTCTATGCTGAAGAGTTTGCTGAAGTTGTGGGCAACATAGGGGGAGATCTTTTTGAGATCGTGGGTTCGCACACGCGTGGCCAGCAGTGACTGGTGGGCGTCCCTGAAGGTCGTGTCCATCAGCAGCAGCCCCTCGTGGTTTCTCACCGCTCGAGCAAAGCCCTCGGGACCCTCCCGCAGCAGGATATCTCTGAAACCAGCTGGGGGCAGGCCTAGGGCAGACTGGGGTGTTAGCACCCATCCTGCAGGGGGCAGCCTCCTCTTTGTCTCCCCTATGAGGTGGCAGAATGACTCTCACCTACCTATGGGCACCACAGGGACAATAGGGTCCGTGGGGCTGGGGCTGGCCTTCACGGGGATCGGGGTGGTTGGGCCGTTCACCATGACGTGTCCTGGGGAGAGAGTGGGCAGTGGGTCAGGGCAGGCTGGGCAGAGCCTGAGTTGAGGGCAGAGAGTTGCTGGGCTCGGGGATGGGGGGATTCCTCCAGGATCCCTGGTCTTCCAGCTTTCCCCTGTCCTCTCCAAAGCCAGGGCCTCCTGGGTCCAGGCAGTGGGGACCTAGTGACGGCCACATGGATGGGAAAGGGGGCCTCTAAGATCAGGAGCAAGGAAGGTGGGCGGGGTGGGAGGGTGAAGCAAAGGAAGAAGGTGCAGGACCAGACTGAGGACAGAGGCAGGGGCTGCTAGGAAGCTCTCTGGGCAGGGAGCCAGAAGCAAGGCATCTGGGAGGGGAGAGAAGGGCAGTCTCGGGGCCGGACCAAGGTAGTGCAGCAGCTTCTGGGCCCGGTTCTGTGCAGGCCGCAGCTGGAATAGCTCCGGGTTCTCATCGATGAACTGGGTGTCCACGGTGCCTGCCAGGAACTGCTGGTTGTTGAGCACATTCTGCAGGAAGGGGATGTTGGTCTGCAGGACAGAGGCGGGTGGGAGGGTGTCACCGTGCAGCACAGACAGGGACAGGAGAGGCTAAAAGTGCCACCCTAGGCTAGCACAGCTGCCCGAGTTCCCCAGGGCACCATGCTGAGGCTGAAGCCTCCCTGCGGAGTGGCGTTCCCCCATCTCCTCACCAGACCCACCCCCGTTCTGGCAGAGTCCCCTAAGCCGTGAGGGGCCTGAGCCCGTCCTGCCCTCCTTGCTTGCCATGGAGCATGTGCTGAGCCCCACCTCCTCCTTCCTCAGGGATCTGGAAATAAGCACCTCCTCCCACCCCACAGCCTAAAAGATGGATTCGGCCTTCCCCACAGCGGTGCGGCATAAAGCAGCCCCCTTCTGGCCCTGCTAGCTGCACCTCTTCAAAGAGGCTCCCGCCTCCAGCACCCTCCCCGCCACACACAGCACATGGCCATGCCCTGATGGTCTCGCTATGGCCCCTCCTTCCAGTTAAGGGGGCACCTTCCCAGCCTTCTCCTGCTAACAGCTCCCACCGGGATGTTCTCTCCCTGGGCTTCCAAGACATCTTGCTCCCCTCCTTCTCCCTGGTCCCCACTGGGGGCTCCTCCCACCCCTGCAGGATGGAGTTCTCAGGGCTGTTACTGGGCCTCTTCCCACACAGCACACTCTCTCTGGGTGGCCTTGTCCTGGGCCTCCAGCTCCAGACCCAAAGTGGAAATGCCTCCTGGGCATCTGTCCTTGTGTGTCCCTCACACAAGCTCATCAGGTCCAAAATCAGCTTCTCTCACCCAGTCCTCTGCCTTCTGCTGGGTGTCTCACCATCTACCCAGTTACCAGAACCTCCACTAAAATCACCCTCACCCCCCACTCCTGTGCCACTGGTCAAGCCAGACGACTACCACAGCCATCTCTAGACTCTGTGACCCCTGTCCTCAGGCCATGCCCTCTGCCGGGCTTTCTCATCGTGGCCACCTCTAGCCACACCAATCTTGCCTTGTGCTCTCACACCTCCACACCTGCCTGGTAAGCTCTTCCTGGAAGTCTGAACTCGAAGACCACCTTTGTCCTCATCCCCCACCCTCACGGTGGAGCCGGATGCTCCCTTTCTAGGACTCCATGGGATCAGCTGTTGGAAAGTTCCTCCCTCAGCCTCATCATCTTTTGCTTGTCTGTATCCCTCACATGCCCGGGAGCATGGGTGCTGTCTGAGGGACCGGTGCCCACGTGCTTTGTGCACAAGGGCCCCCAAGTCTGCTCGTTAAATAGCTGGGTGACAGAATGACGCTAGGGCAGGGTAAAGTCCAACCTAGAGGCCACATGGGGGCCTGGGAGCCAGCGCTGTGAGAGATGCCCCATGACTGCAAGTGGAAGGGATTCCAGTGTATGTGTGCCTATGACCATACGGCTACAGCCTGGCTGTTACTTCAGAGAAGGCAGCTCCATGTGTCACCCATTCGTGATCTCTGTTGGCACCTTCAGTAGGGACTCCAGGCCCAGCATGAGCTGCTGGGCCCTGCTGCTACTGTGAGATCCTACCTGTTCCCCCAGGGCTCCTATCACCTGGAGGCCCGGAATGGGAAGGGTGCCTCCCCAGCCAGCATCCCACTGGCGGCCACTGCAGAGTGGGGCCCAGCCGACATTGCCTCGTGCCTGTCTGGTGTGACCAGTCTGCCTGTCTGCCCCTGAGACTAGTCAATGCTCCTCTTAAAGAGATGGGGACATTTCACCTGCGCCAAGGCATGGCATTTGAGATGAAGAAACCAGTTAAACCATCTAAAGAACCTAGAGCCACCTAGGGGTGGGAATGATCCTAAGAGGCTTCCCCTGTCCCACCCTGCATGCCCCTTTTGTAGACCCCTCCCCCTTTGTAATTTTCGGAGCCTCTGTCATCCCATCTGTACTCCATGGGGATAGCAACCAGGCCCATCTGGTTCCTGATGTACCCCAACTCCCTGCACAGAGTGGAACACGATGGATGCCAGTAAACACGTACGTTTAGAGTGAATGAAAACATTTTTGATGGGGAGAAGAGGAACAAGGGGATATCTAATGCCACTGAGCAAGAGTTGACCTGGGCTAGGATCCAGTGCCTTCATTTTACAAATGCAACAGCCGAGGCCGGGGGAGTGGCAACGGTAAGAATGGCTTCCAGCGGCCAGGTGGCTAGCCCCTCACAGGCTGCTTCATTTCTTCTCTCAGCCCTATGAAGCACATAAAACTAATACTCTTTGGCATAGATAAGAAAATTGTCTCAGTGGTTAAAAAACTTGTCCAAGGTTACCTGGTGTACCAGGCAGGATTAGAGTTCCGTCTGTTTCCCTGAGGTAAGGGAAAGGATCTGAGTAGCTTGAGGACCAGGAAATACTTGGGGGAGGTGGTGACTTGCCTTGTTTCCCATCTGGGCAGCCACGACGAAAGACCAGAGTGCCCGACCTGGTTCTCAGCCCTCAGCGCTCCCACCCAAGCCCCGGATCTCGGAGGTAGAAAGCAGGCAACTCATGCCCCCCACCCCGCCCGCCACTAACACACACACCCCGGGAGCCCCTTCTCAGGTGATCTGTCTAAGCCGAGCTTGTCCCGGGCCACTCTTCCAGGGAAATGGCCCGGTAGGGGCAGAAGCTGGACGGAAGGGCTGTCGGCACAGCCAGGACCACTGACGCACAGCTTGAAACAGCGTGCCACCGCCGGCCTGCTGGGAACCGCGCCGCACACACCAATTGGGTCGGAGGCGGAGACCGGTTGGCTCCGGAGCGCACCAGGCAGGGCGGGGAGCCCGGGAAAGAGGGAGGGGCCGGCAGCGGGGGCGGAGCACAGCGCCAGACCCAAGGCCGAGCCCTCTCGGCCCCACCCCGCGGGGGCCCTTCCTGGGGGGAGGGGAGGCGACGCCCCAAACCCTCCCCTCCCCCCCGCAAGGCCCGTGTCTGTTGGGGACCCTCCACGTGACTTGGCAATGCAGAACCGTTATGACCTTCAGCGTGTGTCTGTGAATGCAAGGGTCCCAGCAACAGTGCGGGTTTGCACCCGGCCCTGCCTGTGGGTGCGGGGACGTGTGGGTGTGTGGACATGCGTGGGTGTGTTCGGGAGGGTGCCCAGCGACATGTGACGAAGACTCTCTCGTCTCTGGGAGATGGTGAAGGGGCCCGCGGGCTGGCGCTTTGTCTGGCTGTCTGCAGAGTGACGGTTCGCGCAGCGGCAGCAGGCGCCAGTGCGGTGCAGGATGCAGGGGCGCCAGGGTGGCCGGGGGCGCGCGCGCCTGTGCCAGGGTGAGTGCACTGCGGCGGCGCCGGGGGGCTGCGCGGCGGGTCCGCGCCGGCCCGGGCCTCGGGCGTGACCAGGAGACCCGTGGGCCCTGCAGTGGCCGCGTATCCGGATGACCTCGGGAGCCGGCCTGGGCCCCGGTGGATCCCCGCGAGCCCCTCCACGTCCGTTCCCCACGTGCGTGTCCACGGTGCGCGTGCTCGTTGGCTCGCACCCCCCTGCCTGTCACTGCTGCTACTGCTGCTACTGCCGCTGCTGCCGCCGCCGCCGCCGCGCCGTGGAAAAGGTGCCGGGAACCGAGTGAGCCGGGGCCGCGGGCCCGAGCGCCATGGGCCGGAAGGCGTGCGGAGGGCGGCTGGTCAGCCCCGGGCCTCACCCCCGCGGGAGAGCCGCCTGGAGTCGGCAGGGGCCGGCCGGGCCCACGGGGAGGCCGGCCCGCGCCCCCTGAGCTGCGGACACCAGGTGAGGGGGCTGCGGGGGACAGACTAGGGGTTGGCCAGGGAGGGACAAGGGGCCACGGGAGGGGTTGGGGAGGGGTTGGGGAGGGGCACCTTAGCAGGCGGGGGAGGGGATGGCGCCGAAGGGATGCCGGAGATTCCAGGGGACACCGGGGAAAGGAAGTTCCGGGACCCTCCCTGCTCTCATGGCCACCTCCGCTTCCTGCCTCAAGCCTCACCTTGTACCCAGAGCCCGGACTCCCCCTAACTGCTTGGGGAATGTGACCTTTACTCTGGGGGCCCTGGCCCTGCAGGCTCCAGCCCTCTCTCAGCCTTGGGGGACCCCTTGGGCCTCTGACCCTGACCCCACCGCCAGGCCAGGCTCTCGAAGCTGGCCCCTGAGACTGGGTCTTGGGGCAAGTGGGCACCTGTGCCAGACCCACCTGTGCCTGGGCTGTGACCCTTCCCTACAGGGCGCTCACCATGGCCCCGCCGCTCCTGCTGCTGCTGCTGGCCAGTGGAGCGGCCGCCTGCCCACTGCCCTGCGTCTGCCAGAACCTGTCTGAGTCGCTCAGCACCCTCTGTGCCCACCGAGGCCTGCTGTTCGTGCCACCCAACGTGGACCGGCGCACAGTGGAGCTGCGGCTGGCTGACAACTTCATCCAGGCCTTAGGGCCGCCAGACTTCCGCAACATGACGGGGCTGGTGGACCTGACGCTGTCCCGCAACGCCATCACCCGCATCGGGGCCCGCGCCTTCGGGGACCTGGAGAGCCTGCGCTCCCTGCACCTGGATGGCAACAGGCTGGTGGAGCTGGGCACTGGCAGCCTGCGGGGCCCCGTCAACCTGCAGCACCTCATTCTCAGCGGCAACCAGCTGGGCCGCATTGCGCCGGGGGCCTTCGACGACTTCCTGGACAGCTTGGAGGACCTGGACCTGTCCTACAACAACCTGCGGCAGGTGCCCTGGGCCGGCATCGGCGCCATGCCTGCCCTGCACACCCTCAACCTGGACCACAACCTCATTGACGCATTGCCCCCGGGCGCCTTTGCCCAACTCGGCCAGCTCTCCCGCCTCGACCTCACCTCCAACCGCTTGGCCACGCTGGCGCCCGACCCGCTCTTCTCCCGGGGGCGCAACGCCGAGGCCTCGCCTGCCCCGCTGGTGCTGAGCTTCAGTGGGAACCCCCTGCACTGCAACTGCGAACTGCTGTGGCTGCGGCGGCTCGCCCGGCCGGACGACCTGGAGACCTGCGCCTCCCCGCCCAGCCTGGCCGGTCGCTACTTCTGGGCGGTGCCTGAGGGCGAGTTCTCCTGTGAGCCGCCCCTCATTGCCCGCCACACGCAGCGCCTCTGGGTGCTGGAGGGCCAGCGGGCCACACTGCGGTGCCGGGCCCTCGGCGACCCTGCGCCCACCATGCACTGGGTCGGCCCTGACGACCGGCTGGTCGGCAACTCCTCCCGAGCCCGGGCTTTTCCCAACGGGACCCTGGAGATTGGGGTGACGGGTTCCGCGGACGCGGGGGGCTACACCTGCATTGCCACCAACCCTGCTGGCGAGGCCACAGCGCGGGTAGAACTACGAGTGCTGGCCTTACCCCACGGAGGGAACGGCAGTACCGAGGGGGCCCGCCCGGGGCCCTCGGACATCGCCGCCTCAGCCCGCACTGCTGCCGAGGGCGAGGGGACGCTGGAGTCTGAGCCAGCCGTGCAGGTGACGGAGGTGACCGCCACCTCGGGGCTAGTGAGCTGGGGGCCAGGGCGGCCGGCGGACCCCGTGTGGATGTTCCAAATCCAATACAACAGCAGCGAGGACGACACCCTCGTGTACCGGTGAGGAAGGGCTTCGCAGTCCGTGCCCCCAGTGCCACCCCAGCCGCCCTCCTCTGAACTCTGCCCCATCCCTCGGGCTTGGCTACCTCTCCTGCTCCTTCTGCCTCCTCGGGGCTTCCACACACCCCTCCTCAGCTTCTGAGCTGCCTGGGCCGAGTGGGGGCTGCAGGAGGAGGGGAGGGGGAGGCCTCAGACGTGGCAGAGCGGGTGAGGCCTCGGGTATTGGCGGCCGTCTGCATTTATGCTCGTGGGCTTGGCCCGCACACGCGTGGTGTTTGTGCGTCTGGCGTGTGATTCTCCACCGCCTCGAGGCCAGTCCTGGGCCCGGGTGTCAACGTGCACACCTCTCCGGCCCCTGACAACCGGCTCCAGGGCCACACGCGCCTGTCTTGTTTTCTCTGCCTTCTTCAGTGAACACACAGGCCCGTGTGGTCCTGGGGAAGGGGGAGTTCAGAGCTGGGGCCTGGGGGCGCATGGTGAGGCGGGTGGGGGTGGGCTGGGGCCCGGGCCCCCTTGCCTGCACTCTGACTGCCTGCCCTTGCCCACAGGATCGTCCCAGCCTCCAGCCACCACTTCCTGCTGAAACACCTGGTCCCGGGTGCCGACTATGACCTCTGTCTGCTGGCCCTGTCACCCGCCGCTGGGCCTTCCGACCTCACAGCCACTAGGCTGCTGGGCTGTGCCCACTTTTCCACGCTGCCAGCCATGCCCCTGTGCCACGCCCTGCAGGCCCACGTGCTGGGCGGGACCCTGACTGTGGCTGTCGGGGGGGTGCTGGTGGCTGCCTTACTGGTCTTCACTGTGGCCTTGCTGGTTCGGGGCCGGGGGGCCGGGAATGGCCGCCTCCCCCTCAAGCTCAGCCACGTCCAATCCCAGACCAACGGGGGCCCCAGCCCCACACCCAAGACGCACCCACCACGGAGCCCCCCGCCTCGCCCCCAGCGCAGCTGCTCCCTGGACCTGGGAGACACGGGCGGGTGCTACGGGTACGCCAGGCGCCTCGGAGGAGCCTGGGCCCGACGGAGCCACTCTGTGCATGGGGGGCTGCTCGGGGCCGGGTGCCGGGGCATGGGGGGCAGCGCCGAGCGGCTGGAAGAGAGTGTGGTGTGATGGCAAGGGAGCCAGCCCGGGGTGGGCGGCAGAGGGTGTGGGGTGGGCAGCCTCATGGCCCAGTGGGTCATTGCTGCCTGGGAGTCCCTCCTGGTTTTACCCTGGGTCCCTTGGGAAGGACAGGGGGCGCTCTCCCTGGTTCTGGCCTCCAGTTGGGCAAAATGGGACAGGTCCCTGTGACAGGTGCTCACGGCCTCCGAGGCGGGGGCTACAGCCACCAAGTGCAAGTCTTGTTTTTCTTTATAATAAAATTACTGGGGTCACCTCACCGCTAGTCTCTGGTCTTGCCCTGCTAGGTTTCCTGAAAAGAAAGGGGGGACTCCGGGCCAGTGGAGGCACAAACAAGACGGGGTCAGTGCTGGGGCTACCAGCCCCATGGAGGCCCAGCCAGCCTGGGATGCCCTCGGGTCCTGGAGTGCTGTGGGGCCCAGCGCCTCCGTGCTCTTTGCCCACGTCTGAACACAGGGAACGCCCCTTCCTGACGGCGCATGGGCAGGATGTCTCGCCCTCACCTGGCATGGGCGTTACAGTGCACTGGGTAGCAAAGGGAGCAGGTGGGAAGCGGTGCAGCCCTTCTGGGCAAAGGGACCTGGGCTGGTAACGTTCTTAGCAACTCAGTAAGGAAGTCCCCATTGGCTCCCGTGGGTGACAACCTTATTCACCATCAGCCAGGGCACCTTCTGGATGTATAAAATGTCACTCCAAAGGGATTGGAAAGGGACTTGGAATCCCATTGCCCTGCTCTCAGTCTGTGGCCCCCCAGAAGGTTCCTGTCAGGGATGCAGGCCCTGAGCAAGATCTTGGCTCTCAACTGCTCCACTGACGCCCCTCGTGGCTTTGCTCTTGCTGGACACCCAGGGGCAAACACCAAGGGAGACCACGCCCACACGGCCCCTGCTCTAGTCCCCACCTCAAGGAGCCACAGTCACGGGGCGGCGTGCCCTGCCCTGCCTCCTCCAGGCCCAGGTCCCCACCAGCCTCTGGCCCAGACAGGCCTCCTCCAGCCTTCAAACAACCACTGCTCCTGGGCATCAGCTGGGAGGAGTCAGTGCTCCAAACACACTTCCGGGCACGTGTGGCGCAGCCCGTGCACCCAGTGCTTCGAGGACATGCAGGTGCCCGGGTCCCGCTGCGGAGGGTGGGCGTGGCACCCCAGGCCTGCGTGTGTGGCCCTTTCTGCCTAAGGGGGCCCACTGTGGCTCTGATGGCAGCCCAGTGAGAGTTGGCGCGATAAGGTGCATGCGTACACATGTGGCAGGCCGAGCTCACACACTTGTATGTGTGCATGGCATCGACACACACGTGTGCCTGCCCGCCCAGCCCCGGAACACATACCTGGATGTGGCCCAAGAGAGATCCTGGTTTAAATAAAATGAAACAAGGTCTTCAACAGAGAAGAGCAGGAGAGCGTGAGCCCTGCAAGGGGCCGCGGAGAGAGGGTGGAGAAGGCACAGGGGAAGGCGGGGGAGGGCAGGTGGCCTGCAGGGCTGCGGCGCAGGGTTGGCAGGGCCAGTGGCCTGGTCCAGGTGCACATTTGGGCAGGACGCTGGTGCCCCAGCCTGCTGTCAGCCTCCCACCTTCCTCAGCCCCTTCAAGGCCCCCATGGCCCTGGTCTCCCTTCTCCACCTGCCAGCTCTAAGGCAGTGGGCGCTCAGGAGCCCTCCAGCCCACAGGACAGGTGGAGGGTCCTATGGCCCACGGGCACAACCACGGGGGGGGCCAGCCGGGGTCACCAACAGGACAACACAGCAACAGAAGCAGGCAGGTGAGGGGTGGGGTGGCCGGGCCCCCTGCACACTGGCCACCCCCCACCGGGGCAGCCCTGGGACACCGTGGTAGGAGACCAAGCCCCCACAGCAAGAAGCGGGTGGAGCACACGTCACGACACGTCTCTGCCACGTGTGCAGGAAATGGCCCCCCGACCAGGAGTCCTGAGGCTCCTCACGGAAGTGCAGAGGCCCCATAACACGGACCCTGGGAGGTGGGCCGAGCCCCACAGGCTCCTTCCTCCCACGTGCTTTTTCAAAACGCTTCTGCACCCTCGGAGCACCTGCCAGACACCGTGGAGCATGTCAACAGGTGAGGGGAATGACGTGGGGCTGAGAGGACAGCGCTGCCCATGCGCCCCAGACCCAGCAGGGCTGGAGCAGCCGAGGAGAGGTAGCATCCCCCGGGACTCTCAGGTGAGGAGGAGTGGGTCTGCCAGGCCGCCACCCTCCACAGGGGGCTGGGCAGCGTGATCTCCGAGGGGCAGAGCCCCTTCCTTCTGCCCCTCCTGCCTTGCAGAGTGTCTGACGGCAGCGTCTGCCCAGAGAGTGCCCGCAGCTACTCAAGCAGCGCTGGCCTCGGGGACAAGACAGTATGTGGCTGTGATTCCATCTCCAGCTATACACAACTGACAGGGCCTGACCGAGAGGCCAATGGGCATCTCGGGCCTGAAGACTCTCACCTTCACGCCTCGGACTCTGAACTCGGCAAGGGCTCTGCTCATCTTTGTGGCGGCCGTGGGGTGGTCCTTGCCGTGGGCGATGACTTTGACCAGCAGGGAGTCGTAGTGGGGGGAGATGACGGCGCCTTGGAAGGCAGAGGCGTTGTCCAGGCGGATGCCCATTCCCTCCCCGCTCCGGAACACCTGCGGGGAGAAGCCAGCATGGGCCAGCAGGGTGCTGAGGGCCGTGCACAGGTGAACCCCAACTCTGGCTTGTGAAGTTCTTACTTTCCGCCAGCAAACCCAGGGGCACCCCACCGTGTGGAGGAAGGGCCGCAGTCACTGCTCCCTCCTCCCCAAGAGGAGAAAGGGGGCAGGACAAGGGATGGGGAGGGCGCGCCCTGCCGGCCCCAGGGCTTGGCGCCTGGCACTCGGGGCTGATGCGGAGCCTGCAGGGCATGGAGGGACCAGGGCAAGCCGGCCAGATCCCACCGGCCTGCCACCCCGCCCGCCTGACCAACCCTCTTGCTTTTCAGGTTCATTCATTAGTTCACTCATTCATTCCACAGCATGTGTGCCTGCCTCGTGCCAGGTAGTGGGGACAGAGCAGCTAAAACAGCGTCCCCTGGTCGCAGGGGGCTCCCAGCCTGCTGGGCGAAGGGGGCAGACAAACAAATGAGGAAACACACAGGCGGGTGACAAGGATGCTGCAGGACGAGGGCAAGGCAAGCGGAGGCAGGCCAGGGGGCCAGGGGGCGTATAACATATGCAGTGACAGGGAAGGCCTCCGTGTCCCCCCACCTTCCCTTCCTTCCAAATGGGAGGAGCCAGTGAGTGGGTGATTAATACTAGGAACAGGGAGCCAGGCCAGATGCAGGGAGACACACAGGAGCCCACGGGCCCAGGAAGGGAAGCAGAGAGCGAGGGTCAGAGAGGCGGCTCATGGGGATGCACGGGGGCTCCAAACGGTCGGATGTGGGGAGGGGGGCCACGGCACGGGGACAGCGGCTTGGGGCGTGAACATCTGTGGAGGGGGAGGGAGAGCCTGCACCCGGGGCAGGGGACCCATGTGCGGCACAGGTCAGGGAGACGGGGCGGGAGGGACAGCCGGGGGAGCTTGGGACACACGCTGCACCGTATTTCCACGTCTAAGGGACACAGGCCCGTGTTCAATAAAAAGGAACTCAATAAAATATTTAAGGGTGAACACACAGCTGTGAGCAGGAACTGTCAGCTAAAAATATTCTGCGGTAAACTAGGCTCGGAGGAGCCAGGCCCCGGAGGTGGAGGTGCAGCAAGGCAGCACTGTGTTTCCGAGCTGCCCCTTCCCGGCCGAGGGCAGGGAAGTCGGGGCCGCTCAGTGCACAGCACTCTGGCCTTGGGGCTGGCCCCCACCTATGGACTTGGACCCTTCCAGAAACGGAACTCCGGCGGCAGCTCTGCCTCAAGCCGAGCAGCTCTATGCGGCTTTCAGAATCCAGATAGCTCCCCTTCCCTCCCCGGCCACCCCACATCACTTGTCTCAGGAACTCAGGGTCTGCCTCAAAATCACCCTCGCCCTCCTCCCTGGACTCCCGCACGCATCCTGCTTCCTCAGAGGCTCGGGCCAGATGGGGAGCAGTAAACCAGCAGAGCCTATGACAGCACTGCTGACGTGCAGGACTGGAGGTATCCTTAGCTGGTGGCATGAGACAGGACCAGGGAACAGGAGTCCCAGCAGGCCAGAGGGTGCCTGCCTGCAGCGGGCCCAGAGGCTGGGGTGGGAGGGGAGGGGAGGGAAGGGGAGAGAGGATTGCCCAGGGGAGGGGCAGGGGAGCCCGCCCAGGCCCTCTCTCAGCCCCTGACAGGCAGAGCCTGCCTCTGGGTCTCCTCCCTGGCCCCCTCCATCTCCCCGACTCCCTCATTCATCCCTGATGGGTCCCTTGGCCCAGCCCATCCCCTCCACTGAGACATAATGGGCCCCAATCCCTTGCTGCACCCAGGGTCTCCCTCAGACTGAAGGCAGGACAGAAGCCAGCAGCGCTGCTCGGTGGGCAGTGAAGCTTTGGGTTCTTGTGACACTTTGTTCCCAGGGACCCTGCACTTCGCACCCAGCTGGTCTGCTCCCTGTTCCACGTGATCCCCCCCGCTGGCCTTTCCGGCCTGTGCACATGGCCGTCTCTCCCCGGGAGTGCTCTCCCCTTTAGTCCTGGACAGTGCCTGGCTCCCACGTACTCTTAGCCAGCTTCCTGTCAGCTCAAGCCAGGGGCCTCCTTCACTGCCAGGACCACAGGCTCCCTCGTGCCCCCTGGAGAAGCGTCTGCAAGCAGGCCGAGACTGGTGGCGGGCTCAGTGGGAAGGCGGCCCTACCTCAATGCGGCCGGTGTCCGGCTGGAAGCTGCGCGAGGGATCCTCAGTGGTGACCCGGCACTGGATGGCACAGCCGTTGATGCGGATGTTCTCTTGCCGCAGGCCCAGGTCAGGCAGGCTCCGGCCCTCGGCCACGTGGATCTGGGCGTGGACCAGGTCCACACTGCAGGATGGGGGAGAGGCAGAGGAGGGGGAGAGCGTGAGGCAGGGGATGGGCAGGGCAGCCCCGGCCCTGCCGCCCCTGCCGGCTGACCCTTCGGCAGCCTCCTCCCAACCAGACCGGGCTGGGAACCCGCAGGGTCTGAATGAGGAGAACGCGGCAGCCGGAGGGGTGGCTGAAATATTAGCATCTACCTGATCTTGCACCCCCTCCCAAACTACTCCTTCCCACGCTCTGCCCTACTCCTTCCCTGGGGTCTCTCTGTCCTCCTGCCTCCCCCAAACCCTCCCTTGGCCAAGCCTGGATCTGAAGGCTCAGACCCTCATTCTTA